ATTCTTCCTCCCGAATTTATCTCATAATAAATATATTCTCCTTCCGGAGGTACATAAGAAAATTTCCTCCTTTCTTGTAGAGCGGGCCGAACGCCTGGGCAGGATAGATGCATCTATGGATCGCGCCGCACGTCCCTCGGTAGTGTACACGACACTCTAGATCGGGTCGTACGTCCGCTGCAGAAATCGTGCTTAATAATAATAATAATTACACTATACTTTAAAAACTTATTTCAGCTTGCGAAGCTAATTGATAAATTGAAAAATCCTTGAAATTTAATGAATTATTATTCTTGCTTGTTAAAGAATTAATTGTTATCCCTGTAAGTGATATTTAATTGATAAATTAGAAATTATTTGAATTGAAGGAATTTAATTAATATATTGAGAATTGTTGCATTTTAAGAAATTTGATTATTTCCGCTGATTAAATAAATTATTTTAAACTCTATAAATCATGTTGATTTAAACATCCTAGTAGTATTTCAATTATTATTATTGACCCATAATGAGTGTCAAAATCGGCCATCTTGTCTCTACCACTTCGAGATTAAGCTTGATACTTACTGGGTACACGTTGTTTACGTACTCATACTACACTTGCTGCATTTTTTGTGCAGGACCTGAGGCAAGTACTAGTGGGGGACCTATCGTCTTACACCCACGTTATCCAGGGACATAGTGGTGAGCTGTTTCTCTGATCCGTTCTGCAGCTACGAGGGCCTCTCTTTGTATCTTTAATTTTGTCTATTTTTATTTCGGACAACATTTGAGGTTTTGTATAATCTACTAGGTGCTCATACACTTGTGACACCAGGTCTTGGCACACACATTGGTAGAGTTTGGATTTTATTATATTTTCTTGGTTTTAAATTTTATCAATGTATGTTTAATTTATTAGTTGGCTTGCCTAGCTGTAGTGTTGGGTGCCATCACGACTTATAGGTGAAATTGGGTCGTGACATTAAACTTCTTTAAATTTGGTTTGGAGTATGATTTTGAGTAATTAAAGTCCGTTTGGAATTCCGAGTTTGGGAATAGTTCCATATAGTGATTTACGACTTGCACGTAAAATTTCGTGTTATTCCGAGTAGTTTAAGTATATTTCGGTGCATTGGAAGTAAATTGAAGAACTTGAAATTCTTAAGTTTGAATCAACTTGATTTAGGGTATGATTTTTAGATTTGATGTTGTTTTACGTGTTCCACGAGTTCGAGCGAGTCCGTTTTATGATTTCAAACATGTTGGTATGTTCGGGCGGGGTCTCGGGGGCCCCGAGTGTCAATCGGACGAGGCTTGGACCAAGTTAAAAGTTGGGAGCCAAAACTGAAGCTCCCAGCTACTGTCAGAATCGCACTTGTGCTTGGCCAGTCGCAGGTGCGACATTCGCAGATGCGACAGAAGCTCGCAGGCACGGCACTCGTAGATGCGAGATTTCTTCGCAGAAGCAGAAAAGGGAAGGGGAGGCCATCGCCGTAGATGCGGAGAATTCGCGCACCTGCGAACGTGCAGGTGCGAAGCTGTGTGCGCAAATGCGAGAATTGGCCAGGCAAGTGGAACTCACACCTGCGAGGATTTTCCGCAGGTGCGGAGCCGCAGGTGCATTTCAACCTCCGCAGGTGCGAAAGACATGTTTGGCAGAAAGCTTAAAAGAACGGGAATTCACCATTTTTGCCCATTTTCTTCCATTCTTGGGCAATTTTGGAGCTTTTTGAGAGGAGATTTCAACTAACAACTTGGAGGTAAGTTAATTCTACACCCCTTGAGTTAAATACATAGATTATAAGTAGATTATAACTAGTAATTCTTAGAAATCAAGGGTTTAGGTGAAAACCCTAGATTTTTATAAAAATGAGATTTTAACCACGAAAATAGTTATGGAATTGAGTAGAAATTATATATTTGAGTTCTTGAGATTACGGGTAACGTTTCCATCCAAAAATTTCCAAAATCCGGGCACGTAGGCCCGGGGTGAATTTTAGGAATTTTATCATTTTGGATAGGGTAATTTATTTAATGGATGAATTTCGAATTATTGAACATATATTAATTATTTTATATAACTTTTGGATAGTTTCGGATTTTTCGGCATTGAATCGAAAATTTTACGCGACGCGATAATCGAAAAGTGGATTTTGAAACAAGGTAAGTCTCTTGTCTAATCTTGTGAGGGAGAAATTACCCTATAGGGATTAAATTGAATAATTATTGCTAATTGTGGGGGCTACGTACGCACGAGGTGACGAGAGTCCGTGTGTAGCTATTATAAATGCTAAAGTCCGGGTAGTTTAGGACTCAAAGCATGAATTACTTGTGTAAATTATATTCCTTGATTAAATAATATTAATTGATATATATGAATATATTGTGAATTGTTAGATAAAGATATTAAAGGATGAAAATCTCATATGCTTGATTTTCTATTTAAATCATATAATTGTTAAAAGAAATTATTCTCCTCCCGAAATTATCTCTTAATAAATATACTCTCCTTCCGGAGGTACATAAGAAAATGTCTTCCTTTTTTGTGGACCGGGCCGAACGTCTCGGCAGGATAGATGCATCTATGGATCACGTCGCACGTCGCTCGGCAGTGTACACGACACTCTGGATTGGGTCGTACGTCCTCGGCAGAAATCATGCTTAATAATAATAATTACACGATACTTTAATAGTTATTTCAGGCTTGCGAAACTAATAGATAAATTGGAGAATCCTTGAAATTCAATGAATTATTATTCATGCTTGTTAAGGAAATAAATTGTTATTCCTGTAAATGAGAATAATTGATAAATTAAAAATTATTTGAATTTAAGGAATTTAATTAATATATTGAGAATTGTTGCATTTGAAGAAATTTGATTATTTTCGCTGATTAAATAAATTATTTGTAAATTCTGTAAATCATGCTGATTTAAATATCCTAGTTGTATTTCAATTATTATTATTGACCCATAGTTAGTGTCAAAGTTGATCATCTCGTCTCTACCACTTCGAGATTAGGCTTGATACTTACTAGGTACACATTGTTTACGTACTCATACTACACTTGCTGCACTTTTTGTGCAGGACCTGAGGCACGTACTAGTGGGGGACCTATCGTCTTACACCCACGCTACCCGGCCGATCGTTTTGAGTTTTATAATCTCGTTTTCCCATTTACTGCTCAAATTGTGAATTTCAGTTATTATTTGGCTTGCCGGGGTAATTGATTTGGGTCCGGTGAGGTTTTGAAATTATTGGAGCATTTAGTTCCAAGGTTTAGAATTTAAGTTGAAAAGGTTGACCGGATGTTGACTTATGTGTAACGACCCCGGAGAAATTTTGCTAAGGAAATTAAGGTTTGGTGATGCCGAGATAGATCAATTAGTACAAAGATTATACAAATTTCTCGTGGCTCGGACTTTTTGGGTTGAACAATGCACCGATGTGTAAAGGAAACTTTTGTCGGAAAAAGGTCATTTCTGCGACCACTATGCGGTCGCAGAATCACTCTGCGGACCGCATAATGGTCGCAAAGTGGATCAGGAGAGGGGCAAGATTTGAGAAAAATCTGCGGTGCACTATGCGACCGCAAACCTATTTTGCGGTGCATTATGCGACCGCAGAACAAGTATGCGGACCGCATAATGGTCGCAAAGTGGATCAGGAGAGGGGCAAGATTTGAGAAAAATCTGCGGTGCACTATGCGACCGCAAACCTATTTTGCGGTGCATTATGCGACCGCAGAACAAGTATGCGGACCGCATAATGACCGCAGACCGGGTCAGTAACGCCTAGCTTTGGAGACCAAATTATGCGGCCGGTATGCGGACCGCATACCTGTTATGCGACCGCATAACTGCGTCGGAGCTTCCATTCTTTCTAATTTTTGACCGACCCCGCTTCGATTTATAGCTCTTGAAGCTCATTTTTGAGCCAAAATCTAATATTTTAGAGAGAGATGTGTCACGACCTGAAATTTTCCACCGACGGGACCGTGATGGTGCCTAACATTTCACTTGTTAGGCAAGCCAACGTTAGAGAATCATTTACCAATTCCTTACTTTCATTCAGTAATTAACATTAATTAACTACAATGAAATATAACAAGTGTGGAATATTATAAATCTGTATTAACTACGGCAATTGATTTGAATCAAGGACCTGATGGCATCTATTTGGCCGGTAGCCTAGATACATAGGCCTAGGGCTGAGGTAATAAGAGGAATCAACAACAAAGTTGTGTTCTTGATCATTATTAGATACAGAGGCATAATTGTAGGGAGTAGAAATAGATAATTTTTCAGAACTATGAGAAATTGAATCTAGTGAACTGGTTTTAGCTCCAAGATTTGAGGCTGTGAGAATGGATTTCACAAGAACTGGAAATTCCTTTCACCCAAATTTTTTTTCTAATTGGAACTAAAGCCTCTGAAGCTGCAGATATGGTGCGTGACATGATGTTCTTAGTCATGGTTTTCTTGTCAAATGGTTGCTCGTTCCCATTAGTTTCTCTGGAATTCATTAACCAAAACAACCAAAAATGAATTTCTCCTAATTTCAGAAACCACTTTATCTTTCTTTCTTGAAATTTAAAACTAATCTGCTTCATTTTCTCATGTACTGTGGATGTAATTAGTGTTTTATTTCTTACTTTTTGAAGTAAGATGATTTCATTAAATGGCATCAAGAAGATGCATAACAAAAATATACAACAAAAGTGTGGCTGCTCATATACAAGTGCTTTTATTTTGTACTTGAGGTTTTCTATTTCCCAAAAGCGATAGTTTCATGGAAGTAAAAACTAATTCAACATCGTTTTATCATCTTGCAGAGATAGAAAGGGAAAGGGAGCAGGGAGGTCCATTTTGTCCAACAGTACATAGTCTTCAATCGTCTCTCTTTTGCTGCTTACTCTTGTTCAGTACTATTTGTTTTTGCCTTGAATGAAATCCAGTTTTCTGATACCAATGGAACTTTCATACAACTCTTAGTGAGGTGTTAATGGATTAGTAGCTTTTGTTGGGGAGCTCCAGCATGGAATATTGTTGATTTTGATAGTAGCTGTTGTCTGTAGTTAAATCTGACAGCTTCCTTATATCAGATGAATTCTGCTTCTTACTCTTGGCATATTGTTGATTTTGAACAGTTTTACTGTTGTCTGTAGTTAATCTGACAGCTTCCTTATATCTAGAAGAATTCTGCTTCTTATAGTATCATTATTTTGTTTGAATCTTTTGCTTTGTGTTGTCTATTAAAATGTCTCATTGCCTCGTCAGACACAAATTAATTAGGCCTTGAAAATTTGGAAAGAAAGGCGATGCATGCTATGCCTGGTGATTTATTAGAGGCAATGGTGCACGGTTTGGGTTCTGGTTGGTTTCTTGATCGGTGATAACGTAGATTTTCACTTTTTGTTTGTTGATAATATTGTTGTAGTACTCATTTGGTCATAAACAAAACAACATTTTAGTATCTGTGAATTGTTGGTTTGGCAATTTGAATACATTGTAAATGCTAGCTATGTTTTAAATAGCAAACACAATTTAAAGAGGCATAAAAAGAAGAAGCCATACAGTGCAACTTTGCCGTCCTGGCCTTGCCATCTTCTTCCGCTGTTTCTGTAACAAAGGAGCACACTAGCTACATCTTTTGTGGCCTAAATCTGGCAAGATTATTTGATTAGTCTTATGTTTGATTTAATCTAACTGTCTATAATGTCGCTTTCTGCTGTAAAATAACATATTAAAGGAGGAGGAAGGAGAGCAGAAAGAGGCTAGGTTCACTTCCGCTTGTGTAGCTGCGGATGCCACCTCCAATGTTGAGGATTATTGCCCAAAGTTAGTACTTCCAGAAAATATAAATCTTTTTGGTAACACTAAGTTATTCATTCATTCTCCCCCTTTGCTACTTGGCAAGGTCATCTTGAATGATTATTTATTCTTTATGCTGCGATTAGTCGTCGTTATACACTAGCTATAAAATCAACACCAAATTTTTATCACAGACATCTGATGTTCAATTATAAAAGACGTAGGCTATTAGGCCATGTTCCACTAAAACTCCACTCCCTCTTCTCAATACTACCTTACATTGGAGAATGCTCTTGCCTCTTGGATAAATACGTTGGAAACTTAAAGATCTTATTACATACATGTTACAAATCAACGTTCCACAAAGCGATTGCGATTTGCACATCTTCATGAAGTACACAACCTGCTCGCTAGTACATCATCCGAACCGACATTAACAAATTTATTCAAAATGATTAAACACAACATCACCGAAGAAACCATGAATTTTTTTATTTAAAGTACAATAAGTGAAGAAATATTTGACTCAAAGGCTGCAGTCCGGGGGAATCACAACCATCTCCGAGATATCTGCATTTGCGAAAAAGTAGTTTCTCAACTCCTGTTGCTCCATACACGTAAAGTTTTGCAATTTGACTTTCTTTAACACATGCCTCCAACATTTCCATGGTAGAGATGCACAACAAGGCTTCTCATCATTATCCGACGCATCTTCATATATAAACTGTCAAACGAGGTAAATCAGTAAGTATAGACTATGAACAATAAGAACAAAGGTAAAGAAACTAACTTCATAACGAATCAATCATGAAAGCAGCACTAGAAAGGTTAACACCATTGGGCCTATGAGCTCCTCGAAATCAATCTTAAGCATTATCTGAATGAAGAAATCATCTCATTGAGTACAAAGAATGGGTGCTTTCTAATGGCCAAAGAATAAAACGAACAAAGTAATAAAGGAAGCAGCACAGGGTGAGGGAAGATAAGGTTCACAAATCACTGGAATAGCCAGTGGAAGACAAATAAAAGGCGGTGACCTTTTTTTTTTCCCTTTTTCCCCCTTCTGGCGGAAGGCGCACACGGAGAACTACCAACAGCTGGGGAGTGTTAGTAGGAAATTTCTTTTTTCTTAAGACTATAAGCAAGTCGACCAGTCAAATAGCAAAATAGAGTTTTGCTGCAATTTGTACATGCACGGCTGGAGCCAGATTAAACCATCCCGGCCCTAGGGCGGAGAAAAGGAGGAGACAGTCATGGCGAAAGGGGAGGCTTCATCCAATCCAGTAAGATCAAAACAATAAGAAGGTAAGAGGAGCAAATGTCAATTATATAGAATCTTTAATGCCTGAATTCCTTGGTTTTACACTATTCCTGTTGAAGTTGACTCACTGCATATAACTATTGATTTATCCAATGCCAACATTTTGTCTTAATAATCATAGATAAGCAAGAGAAACCAAAAACCTATAACCAGTCAATAAAACAATGTTTCCAAATAGTTTGGGGCAACAAATATTTATTAGATCAACTTTTAATGGCCTCATAATAATTTTGAACCTCACCCCTTCTTATACAGGGCTTCAACTGACTTTGGAGGAAGTTACAGTTTCGCATTAGTTGGTAGCACCGGAAAAAGTTGCAAAAAACTACATAATAATAAAGGTGCAAGAAAACCTTATTGGAGTAACAACTAACTTTTTTCAATCTTTTATCAACTCAGTGCCTTTAAAGGATAAAGTGTTACCTTAAGGGTCTTTACGCCGGGAGCTCGGATAATAAAAGATAGGGCGCCCAGGTGAGGAGAAATCCAAAGCATGCTATCAATAATGTCGACAACTGAATACTTTGATTGATTCTGAAGGTTTACTTGCAAAATATTAGTACCATAAAGGGTAGGAAGGAAGTTTTCTCTCAGGTCTTTTGGTATAACTATTACCTGCATCCAGAACAAAAAAAAAACAATTTATAAGAAACACACAACAAACTGCTTCTTCAAGCAGTGTAGCTAGCTAGAGAATTTCTGGGACACATTACCCTGTCGCAGTGGCACGACAATTCAATAGCCTTGGAATGATTGAAGTTAGCAAGAAATTTCGTGAACTTAGAGTGCCAATGATTGTCGTCAGTTTCTGGGAACAAGCAGATAGTGACTTCCAGCAAAACTGAAGCTTTCAATTTGAATGTTGACAATGGATGACAATTGTATTGGAACTTTATTAAATTAGGAGTGTCCAATTCAACAGCAATCAGATTATCACACCGTGAGGCCATCAGCCATTTGAGCCTATCAATCGTGATCTTCATGTTTTTCAATGTCTCGCAACTGAATAATTTAAAGATTTCAAGGTTGGGTAGACTGGAAAAAAGGCTCTCTAATCATTCATCAGTGACAGCAACGCAATTGAGGTACAACGTCTTGAGGGCTTTGCAAGCAGTTATTTTAACTACCTTTAGATTCCCATGAAGGCTGTCGATCTTAAGGTCTTCAAGATTAATAGCTGCAATATCAACCAATTGGAATACAAAAGGGCAAAATTCCAAGTTTACCTTTTTCAGTTTAGGTAAAGAAGTATTACCAACTTGAAAACTGGCAAGTCCATCAAAGTTCTGCAAATACAAATCCTCTAAATTGCAGCAGCTTGTGCACAGAGCCTGAATAAATTCCTCGTTCAAAAATACGTCAGAGAGGCGCAACTCTCGCAAAGATGAAAACTTTATACCATCAGAAGGCAATTCAATCTTAAATCCATCCAAACGCAGCACATTTAGTGCTTTGGCAGCAAAGATTGCCTCGGGCAAGCTGTTGTATTCGAGTTTGCCTTCATAAATAGGTCTGCTTACTCTTAGATTCAACTCTTTGATATTACAAGCTATGAGTATCTTAATCCAATCATCGACATAAGAAAGCCAACGATGATGTGGTAATCCTAGAGAGAACTTTTGCATGGAAATCTTGTGCTTTTGCCTATTTGCTAGAGATTGATTCACAACATTGACGAGCCTTGGCATGTCTTCTGACTTAAGGAACTTATCACCAAAATTTAAGTAGGAGAGTGAATTCCAAGCACTATCCCAAACCTTAGACAATGTACTCATTCGAGCGGCATCTTTAGCAAGAAGAAAATACAAGATATGCTGCAAAATTGGCTCTGGCAATTTGGAAATTCGGTCCGCTGCTGCGTCCACGTCACTTCTCCCTTCCATCGATTCCCAAAACCCTAAGCCTGACACTGAATAATGATAATATTTATAAGACTGTATGTCATTCTCTTCTCCTAAACCAAACTTACCAACGGAATGTACAAACCAAATTCCAAAAGGAAAAGAATGTGTAGGAAAGGATGTAAAAATTCTTCGATTAATTTTTAAAAGGTTAAATAATGAAAATAAAAGAAATAATAAAAAGAAATTTATTGTTTTCATTAATCATTATATCACCATACAATGAATTACTTGATAGACTTTCTTTGTTAATGGAAATGCTATTGGATTCTTAACATTACTACAAAAGGAAATAATGGAATTCTTTAAAAAAATTCAAAAGGTTCAAACACTATGTAAAAGCTACTTCCTTCGTTTCATTTTATTTATGTGTCTTAATTTGACTGCATGCGTTTAAGAAAAGTAAAAATATCTTTTGAATATGGTAGTCTTAAAAATTGTAAGTTTTGAAAAAAAGTAATATTTGGAGTTAAGTTGAAAAATTGTATTTAAAATTTGAAATTATGTTTGAAGATGCATTTCACCTGAAAAAATATTGTCGCTTTGTGAGTGGGGAAAAGTTTTTCTGAAATTTTTGAAAAAGTGGTCAAAATAACTTTTTGGTTTTTGAAAAACTTATTTATGAATTTTTTTTCAAAAACTTGTAAAATTTCATAGATAAATACGTTTTTGAAAAAAGAAAATTCGAATAAAAGGAAAAACAATTATGGACAAACGGATCCTTAAACTAAAGATGTGTGTAATATATCAAAATACTTTTGAATCTTGTGTTCTTAAATATATCATGTGTGATAGTGGAGTTAAAGAGTTACCAAATATAAAAAAGACTTTTTTTTAAATAGACTGAAAAGGAAAGTAAGACACATAAAATTGAATAAGTGGGAGTAATAGTTATATTTTAAAAACTTGCAATTACAATTTCATCTACTATGGAATGCACTTACGAAAAAATAAGAAAGAATGATCAATATTTCATGTGTTCTAATAATAGACATAAATATAGCCAGATAATGCGAAAAAAAATAAAAAAATTACACTGATACCAATTAAAATCGTGCACAAATTCTACTATCTAATAAGAGACAGTTAGCAGGCTCTGAACAGGGGTAAAATTGGAATTTTTTCTTTAACATGCTATGCTTAATAGGTACTTTCGTGCTGTAATTATGGTACCCTCCAATAGGGAATACTCTTACATTGTGAAAATGAGTTTTCCAATTTCTAGGCCCTATTGATCTATTTTGACACACCAGCACATCAATGTTCTTCCTTTGTGTTAGAGTATGTGATTGCCCCGCTTTTGTAAGATGGTTTATATTTGTTAATAGCCATAGATATCACAGAAAAAATTGAAATATGACATATTTCTTTTGTGAGCAAATGTTTTTGCCAAAACATTTTTTTTACGTATATTGAAACTGCACTCCTTTTGTCAACTAGTTTTCACGTATATCGTAATATTGCACTCCTTTTTTTTATTTATGTATTTTTAAGTTTGATTAGGTATAACTTATATATATGCATAATTGTAAGGATAACATACTGCATCAGATTAAATCCTCAATATTATAGTTTTACAAGTTAATTTATTTAAACCCAAATTAAATTCAAATTATATATGTAACAAAACTTATACAAATTTACGTAGCATTTTTAAGGAAAACTGGAGTTATAAAAATTAAAAAAGGAAATAAAAAAAGGTTAAACTGTATGCGTTAGTGTTCAATTTAAAACCAAATTTACTTTTGATGGGTCCATTAATTAAAAATACAACACAAACTCCTAAATATGCTCTAAAGAATAACTTTTAGTTAGATTATCTAATATGGTAAATGATTGCAAGAAAAGATAAAAAAAATTATGAAGAAATAAAATTTTATCCTACAAAACTACATGACCAACCTGACAAATGAGGTGAGAACTTGCATGGTTAGTTACTTGATTAATATTATTGAAGTGTAGATGCTTGGATATTATGCGAAATTTGTAGTGCTTTTAGACCAAATTTTTTGCAACTTGGAGTATATTTCAAGGATAATAGCAAATGTATCATAGCTTTACAATCTTATAATTTTAAACTTTTAATTGGTTTTAATTGGAGCATAGACGGTTGGTAGATACTCTTGATAACTTTGTATTATTTTTTTTATAAGGTTATCCAACTATCTATGCAGATAGATCTTTTTAATCTTTTACGCTCTAAAGTCTAAATTTACACCATATAAAATGTGAATAGCCTAAGCCTAAATTCTCTTATTCTTATAATTCTTTCAAATATTCTTTGTACTCCGTATGGTTTATTTTTTGATCTTGACCTCTTAAATATTTGACTTTTGATTCAATAATTATGTATTAGGGTAAGTATATATATTGGAGAGTTGATAACTCAGGAAGAAGTGTACAATTCAGAACGACTTGAAATATTCTCGTGTAGTAAAATATTTTTCTTTTAATGAGAAGTCAAATTCAAAATAATAATTTAGGATATTTAGAAAAATATTTGACATAATTTTTGTCATAAATTTTGATGGAGCATCAGAATTTCAATATTATGGTCGAAAAATTTGGCGATCGTCAGAATTTTTGGTGCTTCAAATTCTGAAAGTTGTCAGAACCATGCTTAAAATTCTGGCACAAGCCTATTTTCACGAAATATTTCGTTAAACGAGATCAAAATATAAACAATGGTTTAGAAAAAGTCCATCAAACGTAATCTATCTATATAGAATAGGAGAAGCAAAAGCACTATATTAAGACAAGTGGCATAACGCCAAGTGGCAATGTTGAGACAAAATAAACTACCTTCTAACTAATTTTTTGTTTTTAAATTTTTAATTTTGAATTAATTGGTTACACTACTTGAATTAATAAATATAAGTATCTTATAATTATCTATAAAAAAATAAAAATATAAAATAAAATACCAATACATATATAAGTATTTCTCACATCATGAGATAAGTATTTCTTTCATCATAACATAAGTACGAAGTTATTATTGTATCGGCCCAAAACCTCGCTAATTGATCTTTACGGTGCTTCCTCTATCTCTATCAATTAAAGCCTTATATCCATTGAAAAAAGTTGCTAGGCTTTTTTATTTTTAAAAATATTTCAAGATTAATAAAATAAATATATCTTCTCTTATATTACAAAAAAAAAAGTGTGCAGACAAAAATATTAAATAAAGTAATATGCTAATAAAATTTTCTATTAACAATGTAAAAATACTAAACATTGGATAATAGAATAAAGAAAAATATAGAACAAAAAAGTTATTCAATGACTATATAAGTCCCTTTAATTTAATAGCAATTTTATTATTGGGTATACCGTATATCACATTGACAAATAAAATGACAATTGAAATTTATTAAAGCAATACGATTTAATTTGTTCAAACAAACCCCATCACAGTTTAATTTAATTTAATTAATATTTTTTAATATTGACGGCGCATTGCGCGGGTACGACTACTAGTTTCTTGCTAATAGTAAGAGATGAAAACACACACTTGCATATTGCACGGGCCAGCCATCATCTAGTTCAAAAAAGAAAAGAGAGCAATTTTATTCGAAATAATTATATATTTCTTTCGTTTCGTCAGTAAAAAGGAAATAAAGTTAAATATGTTTGAGCATGTCATAAAAATATTAAAATTTAAAAGTTACTAAATATATAATAATAAAATATATTTAAACATAGCAAAAAAGGGAAGAGTTTACCATCTTTCAAGGTTATAATGGTTCTTGGTATGTGGATGCAGCAGCGGACTGAATTTCCAAATTGCTGCACATCTTGTCTTTCTTTCTTGCCAAAGGTGCCGCTCAATGTATGCTCATATTACTTGTGTAAATACTCCGTACATCTGATGTGAAATTGAAAATAGCCGGAGTATGCAAGGGAACTCTGTTTTTTCACATAAAGTTTGGTCCTTTCCCCCTTTTTCTCTTCCTTCAACGGTTAAACCTACACATACTCTCATCTGCCCATTAAAGCTACAAAATTCAACCCGTGGGACAAAAGGTTTCCTTTTTCCACGTTGCCTACTCTTCTCATTATGCCCCCACGAAAAGTTTGCTTCTTTTTAAGGTAACTCTGTCTGTTTTACTTTCAATATGCCTTTGAATTTTGTGTGTGCGATTAAGTGCTGAAAGTATTTTCTTAAAACACTATTTCTGTTTAAGACTCCCAATTGAGAGCAATTTAGTTTTATTGACTAGTTGGATTAGAAGACTGAAGGACACTTTGAACTTTGATGTGTTGACAAGTAAAAATTTAAGTGTTAATTGTAAAACTTTCTTTCTGCTTGGTTGAATTTTGATTTTGCTGATCAGTGACGTGCAGTTACATTTACTGCAAATTATCTACACTGTTGAAGCTCCAAAGCAAAGTACTTGTTTTATCTACAGAAAAAGTATGTCTTACGCCTAATTGAATGCTTCTATCCGTGGTTCTGAATAAATTTCCATTGTTCTGGTCTTTGAAACAACTAAGAAAAGGGCGAATACGAGAATTTGTTGGTATAAAACTTTAATTGTTAGATTCCTCTAAAGAAATGTGCTGTCTTGGTTCTAGTTTTGGAGAAAAGAGTCAACTTGCATCCAAAGGACTGGTTTTACTTTGTGCTGAAATGGAGGTTGGAGTAGAGATGAAAACCCTAACTAACGAGGGAGAAGAGAGAAAAGAAGAGGAGCATGAAGATGAGTGCAACAGTAGAGAGAAATGAATGCACTGCTTTCATTACTTGTATAAGCTGTATATATACAAAGACTTTACTAACTAATCTAATCACCTCACTAACCAATCACATGTATCATTAACTAACTAACTAATACACTAATCTCCTAACACATAAATAGACTAAACTATCCCTGTATTCAAGTTACATCTTTTGTCTCAACACTCCCCCTTAAGCTAGGTGGTAGAAAGACATCAAGTACACCTAGCTTGGACAACAAATACTCGTGTTGCACTCGAAGTAGACCTTTGGTTAGAATGTCTGCTAACTGCTCCTTTGTAGCTACATATTCTGTTTGTACCAAACCATTTTGTATCTTCTCCCTTATAAAGTGAAGGTCTATTTCAATGTGTTTGGTTCGTTCGTGAAACAATGGGTTGGCGGCTATTTGAATTGCTGCTTTACTGTCAGTGTAGATGTTCACGGGGATACCAACTTCTATACCAATGTCTTTGAACAGACCAAGTATCCATACCAATTCAGCTACAGTTGATGCAATGCTTCTGCACTCAGATTCTGCAGAGCTCCTAGAAATGGTGCTTTGTTTCTTTGACTTCCAGGATATCAGGGAATCACCATACTTGATGAAGAAGCATGTTACTGATTTCCTAGTGATAGGGCAGGTTGCTTGGTCTGCATCACAATATGCAGTGATAATGTTTTTCCGTTTGCTAGACAACAATATGCCTTGACTTGGTTGGTTCTTCACATATCTAACCACCCTTTGAGCAGCTTCCAAATGTGATTTATTCGGTTTCTACATAAACTGGCTTAGATTCTGAACACTATATGCTATGTCTGGCCTTGTGACAGTTAAGTAGAGTAGTTTCCCCAGTAATCTTTGATACTGAGCTGCTAGTATGTTCATCATACTCCTTAGTGGTCAGTTTGATGTTGGCTTCAATAGGTGTTGTTGCATCTTTTGCAGCTCCCAGTCCAAGCTCAGAAATCAGCTCTAGAGTGTACTTCCTTTGGTACATTAGAATGCCTCTTTGTGACCTGGCAAACTCAATGCCAAGAAAGTATTTAAGATCTCCTAGATCTTTCATTTTGAATATCAGTTGCAGCTTGGTCTTCATCTCAGCTATTAGTGTCAGGTTAGGCCCAGTGATTAGCATGTCATCAACATACACCAAGATGATTATGATGTGTTCCCCAGATCCTTTACAGGGAGTGATTATGTTGGCTTTGCATGAAGCCAAACCTCAGAAGTGCCTCAGACAACTTAGCATTCCTGGTGCATGTTTAAGTCCATACAGGGATTTCAAGAGTCTGCATGCTGGTCTTGTCTCCCCCTGACTCTGAAAGCCCTGTGGTAAGGTCATGTATATCTCATCATAGAGATCTCCTTGAAGAAAAGCATTGTACACATCTATTTGATGAATGTGCCAATGTTCAGAGGCAGCCACATCTAGGATGGTTCTAACAGTAACCATCTTAACTACTGGACTAAATGTTTCTTGGTAGTCAATGCCCTCATGTTGGTTGTACCCTTTGGCCAACAGCCTGGCTTTGAACCTCTCCACCTCTTCTTTAGCTTTGTACTTCACCTTATAGATCCACTTACAACCAATAGGCACCTTGCCTGCAGGTAAGGACACCACATCCCAGGTGTGATTGGATTCTAGTGCAACAATTTCAGCTTGCATAGCTTTAACCCACCTAGGATCTTGAGCAGCTTGCTCAAAAGAAGTAGGCTCATGGATTGCAGAGAATGCTGTCAAATAGGCTTGATATTTGGGAGAAAGTCTATCATAGGACACATAGTTAGCAATGGAATAGGGAACAGATTTGTGTCCAGGCTGTGACACAAAGTCTTTCATCCATATGGGAGCCTACCTTGTCCTCAAGGATCTCCTCAGACCAGTGGAGTGCTGAGTAGAATGAGGAAGTATATAGGGCATCACATCTGGTGCTGACTGGTGCAAGGGAGAAGAGTCAGTAGACTTATGCCTAGCAGGAACAGAAGGGAGTAAAGGTTGTTCTTCACTAGAACTGGACAAGCCAGGAGGCAAGAAAATAAGAGATGATGTGGTTGTGATATCTTTGAAGGGAAATATATCTTCCCTGAAGGATACATCCCTGTTGGTAAAAAAACAATGAGAAGATAGATCCAGTAGAATGTAGGCTTTCTGAGTATCCGAGAAGCCCATGAGAACATCTGGCTTAGCCCTGGGCAGAAGTTTATCTGTTTCATGAACTTGCTTTGCATAGCACAAGCAACCAAAAATTCTTAAGTGACCCAGGTTAGGTGCCCTACCATACAATAGTTCAAAAGGGGAAAGACCATGAAGTACAGAAGATGGCATCCTATTTATGAGGTACACTGCTGCAAGCACACAATGCCCTCAATACTTGATAGGAATATTGGCCTGAAACCTTAAAGCTCGTGTGACTTCTAGGATGTGCCTGTGCTTTTGCTCAACTACTCCATTTTGCTGAGGAGTATAAGCACAAATTCTTTGATGAATGATACCATACTTCTGAAACAATGTGGTACAGTTAGAGTTGACAAACTAAGAGCCATTGTCTGACCCGACTGCTTTCATAACTTTGTTAAACCGAGTTTGAATGAACACAATAAGCTGAGTAAGCACCACACATACATCATATTTGAGCTTCAGTAAAAATAGCCAAGTCATCCTAGTAAAGTCATCAACAACTGTCAGAAAATACTTATTGCCATCAAAAGTTGCACAGTTATATGGGCCTCCAACATCAAGATGTATTAGATCAAATGCAGCAACGGTCTTAATACAGCTAGAAGGAAATGGCAGCCTGGTTTGCCTAGCACAAGGGCATACACTACATTTATTGATAGTGTCATTGATACAAGCTAGTTTGGCAGCAAACAGTTTTCTAAGAACAATACTAGATACATGACCTAGTCTTTTATGCCACAAGGCAACATCAATTGTAGTGTCACCCTGCCTTGACTTTATTCCAGCAGCAGCTAAAGAGACTGCAGTGAGCTTCTTGCCACCATATCTCTGCATAAAGTATAGACCATCTCTTTCTCTACCAATCTCCCTCACCCTGCCATTGAAGAGATCCTGAAAGACACAGAAATTAGGATAAAAGGAAGCAAAGCATTTAAGATCTCTTGTCACTTTGGAGACTGATAATAAGTTGAACTTGAACTGAGGCACATAGAAGACTTCTTTAAGTGTGCTTCTGTCTGAAATATTACTGTCACCAGTGTGAGTTACTTGAGTGGCATCTCCATTAGGTAATAAGACTGTATTAGGCTTAGATGGAGCAACTACAGAAGTCTTAGTAAGCAAGTTAACATCTGACACCATATGATTAGTTGCTCCAGTATCAATAATCCATTCTTGTGGGCTAGTAGATGCTAAGAGAGTAGTGCTAGTACCTGCCACATTTGCTTGAGTTGAGGAAGTTGAATTGTTCAGAATCTGTACTATTTGATCATACTGTTCTTTAGTGAAAGGAAAAGCACTTCCTTGAGCCTGTGGAGAGGAACCTGTGTAAGGAGAAAAGAGTCAACTCGCACCCAAAGGACTGGTTTACTTTGCAACCAAATTGTTGTTATCCCCTCGAAATGAGTACTGTAGCAAAGTGCAATTCATCCAATTTTAGACAATATTGCAAGGTTCCATATGTTTCACTTAACAATCTATTTTAATTCACTATTGTTAATTGGTTTCTTAATTGCTAATCTTCCAGCATCAAGCAACAATATTATTTTTTTGGTTTTTCTGGATATCAGGTCTATGCAACAACTGCTGAAACTGAATAGCAAAAGTGGTGGGAAAAAAGTGTGCATAATATGATCTACATACATTCAACTCAAGAGTTTTTAGACGAGGAAAGATCTCTTTTCCAGCAAGTAAAAGAAAATGAAGAACCATTTTCTACCTGTGAAATATCAAGTAACAAGAGGCATTCTGTGTACAAAGACTATGAACTAAAATAATATGGAGATAGAAGTGCAAGTGGAAGTGCTCACTTTGTTTCCAATGGATTTGACCAGTATTTGTAGTGTGAAAACTTTGGATCATCCAAATCTTCAGCTATCCCATATGAAAATTGAGCATCTCCGCGAGCCATCATTTTTGGGGCAACAAAGTTGAGCAAATCCAAAATATCTCCAGCTGAATAAACCTTGTATTCTTCCACTGCTTTGATACCAGCAACACCCATGTCATAGTATTCGGTCCACACATCGCATGTGTTATTTGCAACATTAGTTCCCTTCACTACACCCTGCATGTAAAAAAACCATAGCTACTTCCAGGCAACAAGTGAGTGGGAAAGAGATAATTTCGCAAAGCTTGTAAGTACCAGGTATTAAGGCCGCTATGCAGTTATTAGTTTTATTTGTTTTTCTTTGCTGTATAAGGATCAAAATTTCTAGCATTGCCCTTGATGTTTGCAGATTTAAAACATTTCCAGAAAAGTTAACATAGAAAATAAAGGGTGAAGGTGGAAACTATTATATCCTATACCTACATAACACCAAGCACATCTGCTCGGGTTTTAAGATAGGAAACCATGCATGATGCGCCCCATGTGCGTATACAAATCATCTTTGGCAAATCCCAAATCAGAAATGTAATATTAAGTGACAGCTCTACCTCACAAATGTCTTTCTCAAGCATAAAAATCAGAAATCATAAATGAACCAGAACAAGAACTTCCTGTTAAAGCGCTAATTTTTTATACATATAATAAGTCTATTGGTGCTCTTTCATGTTTATGTTGAGCCTTAAAAGTTCTAATTTGCAAAGTTTCCTTAAAACTGTCATCCATAATCTTCAAATAACCCACAATAGACTCAAAGTTGAAACAAATAGAAGAAAGCATGGAAATATTTATAGAACGAAAAATAAGGAGCAGTTGGAGTTCTGATTAGCATTACTCTGAAGTCGATCCTCTTAAGATCTGAGGAATGTTTATGTGCCGCATCCTTTCCAAATGCTGTCATCCTTCCACAGTTAACATATTTCCCTTTAGATTCTATAGTTTGATTGTCATTACGGCTTGATATCTGATTAATGTTGTCTCTTAGCTTTCTTTTGCAAGGAGAATAGCCTTCTTCCGGTGACCAGTCAATACCACCCCAAATCGTCTCTCCTCCTTTTGGTATCATAGACATGGTTGAATCCCATGTCCGCAGCATCTTCATTAAGTGCGGTAGCGTTTGAATACGAAATAAATCCTTGTCCATAACAGCCGGTGCTATAGCCCTGAAATATAAGGTGGATTACTAACAAACAAGGAGAACTACAAAGGAAGAAGGGACATATTACATGCAAATGCACTTCAGGACTTTTAGTTTCTGTGACTGCTTACTTAAAATCATTTTGCATATAGCATTTAGTTTTAAAGCATAAAAAGCTATCAAATAGTATCTTGCCGAACATCAGGTATTAATACTGAAAAGTTGAGGAAAAAGGAAATAAGGATGTATGTCACATGTTCAACTGCAGTTACTACTCAACCTATTAATATTAGATAATAAGAGCTGGTAAGGTTTCAGAACACAAGACGAAAGCATGAAAAACAAGAAAACTCCCAACATCAACAGAAATTTGATGCATTACACTACTTCTAGAAACCAAGAAATGATTTAGTTCTTGTACACGGTCGAAATAGATTTCGGCTTTCGTACGTTTGATCGAGTTCAAATGGTAAGCGACCGAAGTGAGACTTCGAGACGAGTTCCGAAGATAGTACAAACAAGCTTCGAGCTCCAAGNTTCGTACGTTTGATCGAGTTCGAATAGTAAGCGACCGAAGTGAGACTTCGAGACGAGTTCCGAAGATAGTACAAACAAGCTTCGAGCTCCAAGACCGATCGAGGAATCGGTTCGGTATCATTATCGAGCCCATGACCAAATCGAACCGCAAGGCAATGTGAAGGTTGTCGGAGACGCACAGACCGATTGACACTCACCCCGAATGTCGAACTCGAACCAAGGCCGAGAGCTCGACCCAATACCGAGCTCGAGCCAGTATCGAGCTCGCAGACAAGAGCCGTTGCAACCCCACTAGGGGAGAGAATCTTGGCTGAAATCGAGGAAGAGACAATTCATCATGGGTTCTCCACTATATATTTTTTATTATAAATAAAGAAAGATCTCTCTACTATAAAAGGGGAAATCCTTGTAAGCACAGGGCAGGTTCACACATTGTAAGAAAAGACTACTCATCTTATTGAAAAATAAATCTCTTGAGCTTGTTTTGCTCAGCATACTCACTCTTCTTGTTCAATAATTTATATCCCGTTTTTATAGCCAAGAATCTAAACATTTTCACTTCTACGTACGATTTATGTCAAGCTATATCACATATCCTTAGAACTACTTATAAATTTAACTATATCCGACTTTCCGGATAAACAGTTTGGCGCCCACCGTGGGGCTAAGGATAACAGTTGTTGTTTGATACAAATTTGCAATACACACCAGTTTACAACTTCGAATCAGCAATGGCAAACCCTCGATTGATGGCTTTACCTATCGACCACGAAGCCGGCCTTCAAGATGAAACCAACAACTTGATACCCAAAGCCGGAAGGCCACTTAACGATGTCACTGAATCTTGAGTCGAAGTACCTGAAATCCGAGTCGAAGTACCGCTAGATGTCAATTCACAATGGCTCTTGAGGCGAACCAACATTCCGAACCGGAAAAAGGTATTTAGGGTGGTACTCGATCTGGAGGAGATCGGAGTCAGCTTACGGATGATCTTCAAGATGTTACAAGCCCAGCAAATAGCGATAGCTCAGTTGCAGAGCCAAACTCAGGTACAAATCAGGCCAGAGCCCAATCTGCTTCGAGAAATCACCCACAGAACGGAGCCAGCTATATTGAAGTCAAACGAGCAAGAATCGAGGACTACTCCCGAAATTACTAAATTGCTCGAGGAACTCACAAAACGAGTCGAAGCCAACGATAAAAAAATAGAAACATATAATTTTAGGGTCGATCAGATCCCGGGAACTCCACCAATGATAAAAGGGCTGGATTCGAAAAAATTCATACAAAAGCCTTTTCCGTTGAGTGCAGCCCCAAAACCAATCGCCAAAAAATTTCGTATGCCCGAAATTCCCAAATATAATTGTACGACCGATCTCAATGAACACGTCACCTCTTATACGTGTGCCATCAAGGGTAACGATTTAGAAGATAATGAGATCGAATCCGTGTTATTGAAAAAATTCGGAGAGACCCTCTCGAAGGGAGCGATGATTTGGTATCATAATCTGCCACCAAATTCCATCGATTATTTTGCCATGTTAGCGAATTCGTTTGTAAAGGCACATGCTGGTGCCATAAAGGTTGTAACAAGGAAATCGGACCTCTTCAAAGTAAAACAAAGGGGTAATGAAATGCTGAGGGAGTTCGTGTCCCGATTTCAAATGGAACGCATGGAATTGCCACCGGTCACAGACGATTAGGCCATCTAAGCTTTCACCCAAGGGTTGAACGAGCAAAGTTCAATAGCATCACATCGGCTGAAGCAAAATTTTATTGAGTATACAGCAATAACTTGGGTGGATGTACACAACTGATATCAGTTAAAAATTAGGGTCGAAGACGACCAGTTGGGAGCTCCTTCCGGATCCATGCATCAGAACAGGACAACTATTAAAAACCAGAGGGACATCGACAGAGAGCAAAGGCCGAACAGAGATGATATCAACCGTACGTTGCAGATCGAATAAACAACGGTTCGACGCGCAATGCCGCTCGGAACAATCGAAGGAGTGATCGAAGACAAAATTCTCGGGGGCTTATGAGCAAGAGTGGCTTTGATAAATATACAGATCCTATAGAGGCACCTCGGCTATCGGAGTACAATTTCAGCGTCGACGCATCGGATATTGTATCGGCGATTGGAAGAATCAAAGATACTAGGTGGCCTAGACCCACGCAAACCGACCCTTCCCAAAGGAACCCGAATTCGATGTGCTCGTATCATGGTACGCATGGTCACAGGACCGAGGATTGCAGACAATTAAGAGAAGAGGTAGCCAGTCTATTCAATGAGGGCCACTTTCGAGAGTTCCTTAGATACCGAGCCAAGAATCACTTCAGAGAAAGGGACGCCAGCAAAAGAGATAAACAAGAGGAACCTCTGCATATCATTCATATGATCATCGGTGGGGTCGATACTCCACAGGGACCCGTGCTCAAATACGGCAAGATACCGGCCACAGGGGAAAAACGAACTCGAGGCTATGTACCCGAGGGCACTTTATCATTCAGAATTGAAGAAGCCGAGGGCATCTCTCAACCTCACAACGACGCTTTGGTAATTTCTATCCTATTAAATAAAGTTCAAGTTAAGCGTGTCTTAGTGGATCCAGGTAGCTCTGCGAATATCATTCGATCTTGGGTAGTGGAGAAGCTCGGTTTACAGAATCAAGTTGTGCCCGCAGCTCGGGTCTTAAACGGCTTCAATATAGACAGTGAAACAACTAAAGGGGAAATTATTCTGCCCGTAAATGTGGCTGGAACCATCCAAAACACCAAGTTCCACATAATCGAAGGTGATATGAGGTACAATGCTCTACTCGGAAGACCATGGATCCACAATATGAGGGCAGTGCCTTCGACTCTACACCAAGTGATGAAATTCCCTACGTCAGACAGCATGAAGACAGTATACGAGGAGCAACATACTGCGAAGGAAATGTTTGTGGTCGATGAGATAACACCGATACCAACGTTATCGGCCACAGAAAGGTCGAGCACAAAAGATAGACGAGAAACCAAATAGAAATCACAGCAACCAGTCTTGACCGAATCGGTGAAGCAGGAAATAGAAGATGATGAGGAAGAGTTTCCGACACCTCGAGCTCTCATCGTCCCTGACGACTCCGACGCCACCAAGTCGACGATCGAAGGACTGGAGCAGGTTATATTAATCGAACGTCTGCCCGAGAGAAAGGTATACCAGGGAACGGGGTTGACCCCCGAACTCAGAAAAAAACTTATTCAATTTCTTATTGATAACATAGATTATTTTGCTTGGTCCCATTTAGACATGATAGGGATCCCACCATCGATAACAATGCACCAGCTGAATTTGGACCCTAGGTTTAAACCGGTGAAGAAAAAAAAGAAGACCACAATCCAAGGTAAAACACGCATTTGTAAGAGATGAGGTAACTAAACTTCTCAAAATAGGGTCAATTCGGAAAGTAAAATATCCCGAATGGTTAGCCAATGTGGTTGTAGTCCCCAAAAAAGGGAACAAACTTAGAATATGTGTAGATTATAAAGATCTAAACAAAGCATGTCCCAAAGATTCTTTTTCACTACCTAGCATCGATCGCATGATAGATGCCACAGTCAGCCACGAGATCCTAACTTTTCTCGACGCCTATTCCGGGTACAATCAAATTAG